GTTGGGGTTTAGTCCAAATCTGCATCCTTTCCTTCAAGGCTCAGGGGTCCAAGATTATCTTCTGTGTCTGTGTTAATTGGTTTCCCTTTTCTTAGTTGAAGAGGGTCTGTGCAATCCTTCTGCCTAGTCCGCCATCTTGCCCCCCCCCACACATTTATTTTTAAATGAAAATTTTGATGATAACATAATTTTTCAGCTTTGCCTGTATTATAAAATCTAACATTGTTACCTTTCCTGCAAGGCCTGCACAGTAAGCACCCTGCTGAGCCTCAGTTTCATATCCAATCCCTGCGCCTCCTTGTTGTACATAGGCATTCTAGCCATACTGACCCTGCAGCTCCTTCTAAAAGGTACTGCCGTTGAGCCAGATCCAACTCATAGCGACCCCTTCCTTGGGTTTCCGAGGCAGTATCACTACAGAAGTAGATTGCCCAACCATCCAAGGAGTGTCTGGTGGGTTTGAACTGCCAGCCCTTCTGGTTAGTAGTCAGATGCCTTAGGCACCACGCCACCAGAGCTAAGCATAAACTACAGCCCTTTTTCTGGTCCCCTGAGGTGTTAGGGGTGAGAGTGTAAAGCACAGAATTACAAGTTTTCTCCTGGAAGCTCCTTGTTATGTGCCGTCGAGTCGGACCTGACTCATAGCGACCCCTCCTTAGGTTTCCGAGGCAGTATCACTACAGAAGTAGATTGATTGTCCAACCTTCCTTCCAAGGAGTGGCTGGTGGGTTTGAACCATCAGCTTTCTGGTTAGCAGTCAAGTACCTTAGGCACTACGCCACCAGAGCTCCTTTTGCAGCTCCTTAGTGCATGCTTTATTCTCCCCTTCTACAAGGCCTGAACTGTTCGCTTTTCTCCCTGTAATCAGCCTTCCAATCAGTTTGAACATTTTTCCAGGTTTAGGCAGCCCTGTTTATACCACTTTGCACTTGTTTCTAAAACGTTGTTCACTGGACACATGAGGATGGGAACTCTGTTAATGTAGTAGACTACTATATCTGTAGCACCTAGAACAAAAGAACGGCATAAAAGGAGCTCTGGGGACATAGTGCCTAAGGCATTTGACTACTAACCAGAGGATTAGTAGTTCAAACCCACCAGCACTCCTCAGAAAGAAGGTTGGGCAATCTCCTTCCGTAGTGATACTGCCCTGGAAACCCAAGGAGGGGTCGTTATGAGTCGGATCTGACACCACAGCAGTGAGTTTGGTTGGTTTTTGGGAACCAAGTCTGAATGAATGAATGTACTATCAACTAGTTTCTTTACCCTTTCTCCAGGAGACAAAAGTAACCAGCTTTTGTATTAAAATGGTCAGTGTAAGAGCACTGTGGTGGCACAGTGATTAAGCACTCGGCTGATAACTGAAAGGTCATTGGTTGGAACCCACCAGCTACTTCACAAGAGAAAGATGAAGCAGTCTGTTTCTATAAAGATTTATAGCCTCCGAAACCCTATGGGGCAGTTCTACTCTGTCCTATAGGCTCACTATGAGTTGGAATCAACTTGATGGCAATGGAGTTTTTTGGTTTGGTCAGTGTAAGTTAGCTGACTTCCCCACTATCTTCCACCTCCAATGTGTAAAACAGTAATACAAACTCAAGTATTTGTCTGAAACTGACTGTCGGTTTTAAGGATTAAATAATTTATTTTTAAGAAAATCGGAACTGCTTGTTTGCTATATTGTTTCAGGAAATTATTACTTATTGATAACTTCTTCTTTTAGTTTTTCTGCAAGCAGTCTCCTCTTTAGTAATGTTTGCTTCTCCTCTGCTGTCATTTCTGGTTTCTCTGTCATTTCCTTTAAAAAAAAAAAAAAAAAGATAGCTTTAGTATAAAATGGATTCATCTGTCTAAAATTCCCAATATCGTATCTCAGATTAATAAAGATTAGGATTATTTTCAGTAAGATAAGCCACATGTAGACTAAGTTTTCTAAATGGCTTTGTAAAATCCCTTGGGGAAGCCTGTTGGGAGGAGGTAGCTTGGGCATTAATACTGTTCTACAATAAAACATTTCAAACACTTCAAAAGACTCAGATAAAGCAGCCTGCTGACCCTTATGCACTCAGCAGGTCAAGTAAAGAAATAAGAGAAAAAACATATGATGAAACTGCTATCATTTCTGCCTCACAAAATCCTGCTCGCCATTAATGAACTGCCTAGAAACGACCTGGCAGCTGCTGGCACTTCAGGATGGGTAAGATGAATGGGTCTATCAAGAAAATTCATTACTGATACTTTTTTTTTCCCCTTACTCCCTCAGTGTTGCTGTGGCTAAGAAGTTATAACTTTGCCCCGTGAGTTCTATTTATATGGACATTATTACAGCATATACAAATACATATGCAGAAATACCATCTGTGAAACCTACATATGGTGATGGGTATATCCCTTTCGCCTAAACAAGTATCAGTACTGATACTTTTTGGCAAATATCTTGATTTTAAGATTTACAAATTTTGACATGCTGTGAGGCAGGGCATACCTCTACTTCCCCTGCAGGATTTCCTTTTTGCTCATTATTTTCTGTCTGCTTAATCCTTATATCCTTTCTCATTGACATTAACTTGTCTCTCTTCTGCTTCAGATAGTGTTCTCGTTGGCGCAGTTCTTCTGTTCCAAGTGCAGCTAAATTCTGGATCACAGAGGAGAAGAAATACCAAATTCAAGTCTACATAATGAATGGCACAGATACTATGTGACTGATTCAGTTAGAAATTTGTGTTCAAAATCATAAAACAGCCAAGTGTACAGCTGTTTACATAATTCATTCCCAGAACATTGTCATGTTTCTCACAGTTCCTAAATAATGTCTTACTTACTGCTATTGGTCCTTCCATGCTTGTATGTTCTAAGCCAGCCATCTTCAGTCCTTTCTGGGGGAGGGAGGAAGTTTCAGGCAACATTTCCAGCTTTCTTGCCAATGGTTGTATTGACCGATTAGCAAAATGCACTTTAACTTCTGCCAGCAATTAGATAATGAGGTCAATAAGAAAATTACAAGAAATATTAAATATTAGGTTCACCAGAGCTAATGTGAATCCTTGTTTTTGCTCATATTTATTCAATCAGCACATATTAAGTGCCTCACTGTGCCAGGCACTGGGAGAGAAGGATAAAGTCTGCCCTCAAGGAGCTTGAACACTACCAAATATTTTTAAACAGTTTCTTGTGATTAATGACAATTCAGCAAATACTGAACTCCTGCTACTGATAAGGTACTATAGCTACAAAAAGATATTATCCTTGTCTAAAGATCAAAATTACACTAAATGTAATAATGCAAGATTGTAAACAATATACTAATTCCTCACTCTAATGTAGTTGGTTTCAAAACTTTTGCTTGCAGGTGACAACTGTAAGTGGCTCTGTATTTTCAAAACAATGTAAAGCTACAATTTTCTGTATTGAAAGGGTAAGTATGATTACTTTCAGTCATTTTTGTTGGTGATTACATATGGAAGATAACTCTAACCCCTGCCAATGCATTAATAATACAAAAAGATTCCTAAACCAAAAAAACCCAAACCCACTGCCATCGAGTTGGATCCAACTCATAGCGACCCCTCCTTGGGTTTCCAAGGTGGTAGCACTACTGAAGTAGATTGCCCAACCTTCCTTCCAAGGAGTGGCTGGTGGGTTTGAACCTCCAGCCTTCTGGTTAGCAGTCAAATGCCTTAGGCACTACGCCACCAGAGCTCCCAAAGACTCATAAAGCAAGGAGAATATGGAAGCACATTTAACATCAGGGCTCAGTATTTCCCATCAATATTGCAACTATGTAAAGAAAGAGGATTAACATTCAAATTGCTTCTTTGAGACATTTTTCATTATAAGATAAGGTGGTTTTTTTTTTTTTTTTATGATGAAACATTTGCAGTGTAAGTACATGAGCTATGAAAGAAAGCAGAATAAGATAAGCAAAAAAAAAAAAAAAAAATCCACTCCCATCAAGTCAATTCCAACTCTTAGCAACCCCTTAGGACAGAGTAGAACTGCTCCATAAAGTTCCTGAGGCTGTTAATCTTTACAGAAGCAGACTGCCTCATTCTTCTCCAGCAGAACAGTTGACGGGTTTGAACCGTCAACCTTTTGGTTAGCAGCCAAATGTTTTAACCACTATGTTACCAGGGCTCCTAGTAGACAAAGGCCTACATGAAAATGACACTCTTTAAGAACTGAAAACTTAGAAGAACATGGTACACCTGTCTCTAAAAGTCTCCTGGCATAGCAAAACTGGAAATACAACTTTCACATGGGGTGAGTGGACCCACTGTAGTGCCAGGGAGACTGGAGGAAGGAAAGCTCTACAGGCCCTAGGGCAGTAAGGGAAGGCTACCTGGAAGAGATGAGGCTGAAGCTAGCTCTCCAAGCCTACTTGGCAGGGAGCTTTAGAACTAGCTTAAACAGAAACAAAGATGAGCTTAACAAAGTTGGTCATCACATTCAGATAGAATCAAACTACAGTTGTTCCTACTGATGCTGCTGACTCTAGCAGCAGTAAGCTTAGGCCCCAAATATGAAACCACAGAGTTGGAAAGGGGACAGTTCATTTCACTTCTGAAGAGGGAAGAACCATGCACATAGCATTTATATTCAACTCATGAGCTTGCTATAAACAGTTCTTGCCTTAAGTTTGTTGGTTGTAATATATTTCTATACAGTAGTCTAACTCAGACCTAAAGAGTAAAGTATCTGAAGCCTACATACTTAGTCACTCTTTAAGTCCTAGAAAAGGAGCATCAGAAACCCAGCAAGACTAAAGAAAGATCATCACAGACAGATCTGGCAATTCTTTGCATCAGCTTGAGAGGCTATGATATCCATTTCCAGCAGGAAAAGACATGAGCAAAGGGAGTGGAATATCTTTGATTCTTTCACAATGGTATTCCATCGCCTTGTGCATGTGAAGTAATTTCTTGGAATATGCCCTTTTTTTTATTGTGATTTGGGTGAAAGTTTACATAGCAAATTCACTTTCCATACAGCAGTTCACATATACTTTGTCTCATGACATTGACTACAATTTACCACAATGTAAAAGCTCCCCTCCCACTTCCTATAGTTACCTCTTCCCTGTGTCCTTCCCTCCATTGCACATCTGCCCCCTGGGCTAAGTCCCTGTGCACACAGCCCTTCTGTTCTCCCACGACTGTTCTCTCCAAGGAGTGTATGTTCCTAATGTCAATGTTCAGCTCATATGCCTGTCTTTTGCTTGGCTGGAAGCCACAGGAGTGGGTTCAATTCCAGACCTGAAGGGCAGCTAGGGGCCATAGTCTCAGGAGTTCCACCAGGCTCTATCAGACCAGCAAACCTGGTCCTTTTTCTTTAATGATTTTGAATTTTGTTCCACATTGTTCTCCCACTCTAGCCAGGATCTCCTACATAGATCCCCTATGAGTGGTTGACAGTGGTAGCCGGGCACCATCTAGTTCTTCTAGTCTCATAGTCATATAGGTTGAGGATCACATGATGTACCAATCCCTTGGACTAATTGTTTCCAAGAGTGTTTGGTTTTCTTCATTCTTCTTTGCTCTGAACGAGGAGAGACCCATCATTGCATCTAGATGGCTGCTTGCAAGCTTTTAGGATCCCAGTTCCTACTCACCAAAGTAGGTTGTGGAACAATGTTTTGTGTAGTATGTTATGCCAATTGAGCTTAATGTCCCCTGCAACTATGGTCCCGAGCCCACAGGTCCAACTCCTCGCTCCCTCTGGGTAGCTGGCTGTGGCCAAGAGGTGACTACAACCTTGTCCCTTGTCAGCTGTATATATACCTGGAAATTCTTACAGAACATACCAATACACTTGTAGAAACACTGTCTACCAACCCTATACATGGTTTTGGGCACACTCTCCCCTGCATAGACTTACCTAATAGTTCAGCCTGTCCACCCATCTATCCACCTGTATACCCATGTTTGCCTTCACTGACAATGCAGTATTGTATGTATATGCCCATTTTTAAAAAGATATAACAGTTTTTTAAAACTAAAATAATTACTTTTGAAATTAACTACCATTTGTTCTATGCCACTGATACATATAATTAAGTTACATATATTTTGAGAGCAGGTTTTCTATGGTTTCACATAATGGCCAGTTAATGAGGTAGACAAAGCAAATTCATTCAAATTATGACCAACAAAATTTAAATCCATGAAATGAGCTCTATGTAATAAAACAAAGAAATATGGAACGTCAAACTGAAACAAAGCTCACACAGATCTAAATAAAGCAGGTGCTTTCAAAGATGTAATTCAAATGAAGTTATTCTACTCACAATCAGCAGAATATGGGGGAAATTAAAGTTCATCCATTAACATTTTCCACAAGGATTCTCATTGATTTTGGTTTCAAACACAGAATTTCTGACTACTTAACATATGAACAAACTGACTACCTCCTATATTCTAGTTATGTTTATTCATTAGGAAACTAATTAATGTTATCTTTCTGGTCAACTTCTCACTCACAATTAACATACAACTGTGGACAAGGAAGAGAATCCCAGATGCTATGTGAGCCCTGTCTTGTAAGGTGCATCCATGGCACAGGAGCTGGTGGCTTCCTCAAGAATTTTTGCTCACTGCTCTGGGTTCCAGGCCTTACTTGGAAATTTGGGGACTACATCCTCTCCATCAGCTGGGTATGTCCTACCTGCCACCTCTTTAGCTAAATTCACAAAGAACTTTAAATACCATGATGGGAGAACATGAAACGTGTCTTCAATACTCCATCCCAGGATTTTTGAAGGTTAAAACAGTATACATGGGAAATAACCCATTCCATACCAATATCCAGGTAGCCTCTAACTTGTGATGCATTCACGTTAGCATGAATCACACTTACCACCATCTGGGGTTTTTTGTACATTTTATCTAAGTTAGTAATACGTACTGCATACAATGTTGTGGCGTGTAATTGGATGACGATTATATGTAATGCCTCCAACCCCAAAGCCAAATAAAGATAAGATTTACAAAGATACTGATAATAAAAGGCAATAATAATGAAAACAGAAAACAAAAATGGTAATTGCTTACATCAGAACCAACATACAATGGAGTCATCAGAACAGAATCCTGTCGTAAGTCAAGGACTACCTGTATTCACATTATTAGAGGAAGTTCAGTACACCTCAGCCTCACCTGAGAGTGGGTGTGCAAAGTGCTCGCCATCCTCTTGGGAGTTAGTCACTTTTGTAGCTTCACTAGCATGTACTGAGGGTTCTTCTGTCTTAGCTTCTGATAACTTTAGAAATCCATAATTCAATTAAAAAAATACACATTTTAGATTATTTTCAAAAACTTCACTACTTAAGGGATCCAAGACATTAGTTTAACCAAAAATAACTGTCTAATCTATCTACTGAATAATAAACAAAAAGTTCTATTTCTCCTAAGTTTTTATGATGCTGCCAGCACTATATATCTTCTGTTTTATGCAGTAAGTAAACATTCTATTTCAAATCATGCAGTGCTAAAAGTGACTATTATGGTTAGGACTTCAGACCTAGCTAGAACTGAGTTGAAACCCAGGCTTCACCATATTATCATGTAATCCTGAACATAATCCTGGGAAAGACTGTAGAAGAAATGAAACTACTGAATTATATGGTACTTTTCCACTTAAAATAATCTATAAAACACTAGTATGAAATGCCTGAAGTTGGCACAAATTGGTTTATATCAGTTTCTAAAATGGAGTAATGTATTTAAACCAAAGAAATCATTTAAAGATTGGAAAGAACTAAGTAAACTGATACTCAATTTTCCTTAAAAACAGAAGAAAACCCCATTGTAATACAGCTAACTAGATATTTCATGGACATCTACACTCCTTACATGCTGGATACATGGGGTTCATTATTATTCTCCTCTCTACTCCTGTGTTTAAAATTTTCCATAACACAAAGTCAAGGGGGATAAAAAAAACCATAAAAACAATTCTATGCCCTAAAACATAGTATTATTCAAGAAGCCTGAAGTACCTACCTAATGTAGTTTGCTTATAAATCAGAGAGTTAATACTCCTGTCTTCAGATAACAGTTTTGAACTGGTTTCTGTTCTATCCTTTTATATTAAAATATCTTTTTTAACTTCTAAGAACTTTGTCTCCATATACTAAAAGGGATTTCCTCAACCATGTCTTGATCCTAAAATGTCTCTCTCCTGCTCTGCACTGGGTACCTTGGAGTAAACAGGTTTTTCAAAGAAGCAGATGGTGAAAAGATACAAGCATATATATATGCCATAATGAGTGAGGAGGGAGAAATGGAAACTACTTTTAAATGACTAAGAGAGAGGTTGTATTAAATTTCCATTTCCCTTCCCTTTCAGGGAGACTGGGACAATGTGGAAAGAGCAGCAGCTAGAAAAGGAGAGAGGAAGGAATAAATATTAGCTTCCCTTACCACAGGTTAATTTACCCTTAGGAAATGTCAGGCACTTTATGGAGATGGTTTTTAGGCACGAACAGTGTACCAGGAAATGTGATACTGAATCATTCTACTTGAAGATGATAATGTTAAGGGCTGCAGGGAACTTTCTGTAGTAGCTATTTCAAAACAGAGAGTCAAGGAGAAGGGGAAGTAAAGTATTTTTCTTAAATGCTTTTGTTCATAAAATGAAGGAATTTTTGTAAGGAACTCTCCCAAAATAGAAATGGTATTACAATTTTTTGGATTTAATAATTTGGGTTGTTATCATGGAATTGGAAATATAGGCTGCTGGATGAATTATAACCTATAAGGAATTACAAAGAAACTAATTCTTAATAGGTAATGTTGTTGTTATTTGCCATCGAGTTGGCCCCGACTCATAGCAACCCCTCCTTGGGTTTCCGTGGCAGTATCACTACAGAAGTAGGATTGCCCAACCTTCCTTCCGAGGAGTGGCTGGTGGGTTTGAACTGCCAGCCTTCTGGTTAGCAGTCAAGTGCCTTAGGCACTATGCTACCAGAGCTCCTTAATAGGTAATAGTTTCATATAAATGCTTAAATGTGCCAGGAGAATATGAAAACCGAGAAATGTGTAGTGCTACATAAGCTTAAACTTTTAACAACCAAAAGTAGGCATAAACCTAGTAAGATAATAACAGCAATGAAATACTTCTGTTGTATTAATATACACAGCTGCAGATACAGGCACCTGTTTCTTTCTCTTCCTTTCTTCCTCTTGTTCATATTCTTCTTTTGATTTTCTGAAATATACAAAAATAAAGTGGAAAAGTAAATTTTCTGATCAAAAAACAAATACTCAAACAGCCCACAAAACATGCAAGGCATACTGGGCACAAAGATGGAAAATAAGCAGGCCTTGCTATAAGGCTGCATACGATCAACTGGGAAAGACACATGCAGCATAATATAGTCAGTAACATGAAACACAGGCATATCATTTCCTCAAGAAATGTGAATGACTCCAAGCTGAACAAAGACCAACATATCTAAAACCCTAAACTCAAATCTGAATGGTGAATCCCTTTCATCTCCTTTAGAGAGATCCGCTAAACCTCTCTGGATATGATCCCTTTCTCCCCTCATTCTAGCTTTTCCACTGGCATCTGAGCCATCACAAAGCTCTTCTGATGCTATTGTGCCACATCCTATCAACTTTATAAACTGCTCACTGAGGCAGTCGGATTCAGGAAAACAGTAAATCTACTCTCGTACATGTGTGTAATTAATTCCCTTGGCCACCTCTTACACAGTTGTTGTTAGTTGCCATCAAGTTGACTCCAACTCAGAGTGACCCCAAGTGTGCAGAAGAACTGCTCAATAGGGTTTTCAAGACTGTGACCTTTCAGAAACAGATTGCCAGGCCTTACTTCCAAGATGTCTCTAAGTGGACTTGAACTGCCAACCTTTCTGTTAGTGGGTAGGTGAGGAGAATACAGGATATCAGAAGATGGTTGTGCGTAACTGAGTAGTACAGCTGGAGAGGAAGGACCAGCAAAAGTCAACACTCCATTTTGCAGATGACACAGTGGCTACAGGTATCCTTTTGTCCTAAACCACTACATTACCAGGAGATTTATAAATGAGTTACCGCAATCCTCCCTCCTTTCCAAAACTTCCAGAGGGGTCAGGAGATAACAGGCTCAAGGGAAAAGGAAATGCCTACTGCCCTTTCCCTGTTCTGTGTAGACCCCTTTAGTGAGTTGCATGCTCCTTGCCAGGCTGAGAAGATGACAAGATTCTCATCTGGGCCAGACACCTCCCACTCTCCTTCTCTGTGGGAGTCTAGATGACCCTCTTCTGACTGTGAGACAGCTGGAATGAGCCTTTCCCAGTACTGAGCCATGGAGTACGCTGCTCAGCTCAGGCCACTATTCATCCCTTTCCAGGGATCATGCTGGGTCCACTGTAACTTTTTCCCAAGGTATCTAGTCTTCTGTCTCCATAATGGAAGCAGAAGATCCTTCCATTTGGGTTGATCTACTATGAGTTAATCTGAAAATAATTTCTTCTGTTGACTAAGAAATTTTACATATAAAACCAGTTGCATCAAGTTGATTCCAAATCATGGCAAACCCACGTGCTTCAGAGTATATCTGTGCACCACAGGCTTTGCAATGTCTGGCCTTTCAGAAGTACATTGCCAGGCCTTTCTTCTTTCAGTTAGTAGTTGAGTGCTTAACCATTTGAGCCACCCAGGGACTCCTAATATATACATACAAAAAAAAAAACACAAAAAACTCACCATCAGTGAGTTGGATCCAACTTATAGCAACCCCTCCTTGGGTTTCCGAGGTGGTATCACTATGGAAATAGATTGCCCAACCTGCCTTCTGAGGAGTGGCTAGTGAGTTTGAACTGCCAGCCTTGGTTAGCAGTCAAATGCCTTAGGCACTACGCTATCAGAGCTCCTAATATATACACGTTGTTATTGTTATGTGCTGTCGAGTCGGACCCGACTCATAGCAACCCCTCCTTGCGTTTCCAAGGCAGTATCGCTACGGAAGTAGATTGCCCCATCTTCCTTCCGAGGAATATATACATAGTTATACATAAATAAAATTCACAAATCATTTCAGGGTCTTTAGTAGATAATTCAAGTATTTTATTAGTTCATAATACTTTCTGGGTAAAAAGCATACACAGGGCATATTATAGTACTACTACTGATTCATTCAAAAAAATAATTAAAGGAGGATACCTAAGAACTTCCCTCAGGATTTTCATTTCTTCCTGTTCAAGGTCACTAACCACATCAGAACCATCTGTTAAACAGTCAGGTAACACACCTGTTGAAAACCAAAGTCCACATGGAAGAACATCAATTCAACTGAAAACATTTATTTCTCACATTATAGTTCATCAAGAAGTACAAATTACTTTATTGAGATCTACCACTTAATGTTCTAAGTGATTAACTCTAACTTATTTTTGTTTTGGAGAGTAAGTCTCATAAAAATCTAATCATTTTACCTAGAAATGTCTCTTAGTAATTATTTGTATTATTTATTTAAAATAACAATAATCATATATGGCAATATAAGTTTATTAATACAAGCTATTGTCTTTGATAATGACACTGTTACTGCTGTTCTTGTATAATGCCTAAGAGTATTACCACTGAAACCACTTAAGCTGAGGTAAATATTGAAATTATGCTCATGAAAGTGTTAAGGGAGAAGAGGTTTAAAAACAAATATAATTTGTTAATTGAAATAGCCTGTTGATACTGTTAACTCATACTACAACTACTATTAAACAGGGCCCTGCTCACTACATACAAAGACAGTGTGGTACTAGGCACTTCAACTCTCACTACCATTCAGTCGATTCCATTCCAACTCAGCAATCTCCATGGGGTTTCCAAGGCTGTAAATCTTTACGGAAGCAGACTGCCTCATTTTTCTTGCATGGAGTGGCTAGTGGGTTCAAACCACCAACCTTTTAGTTAGCAGTCAAATGGCTTAACCACTATACCACCAGAGCTCCTTGCTAAACTCTTTAGAAGGATATAAAGATGAATAACACAATCTCTGCCCTTGTTATCAGTTACCAGTTTAATAACTACAAATTAGGACAATACCCACATCACCCTGACACAAGGAATTTTAAGTGCACCTTAAATGACTTTATTACCTATATCTTCCTGACAAGCAGAGAGACTGGTAATAAGTGTTCTGTTCATATCTATCGTTATTACATTTCCACAATATTAGAAGCATGTCTATCGGCTTTTACCTTCCATTACTTTATCCACATACGACTTTGGGATTTTAGATCTGCTTTAAATTATAGTAGCTTTATTATGTTTATCCCCTTGATATTTAAGTACATTTTTTAATTAAACTTTTTATTTTGAGGTAACAGATTCATATGCCGCTGTGAAAAATAATAATAGAGATCCTGCATATCCTTTACTCAGTTTTCCCCAATGGTAACATCTTGCAAAACTATAGTACAATATCACAACCAAGAAGTATTATTACAATCCACTAATCTTAAGTGCATTTTTGCTCAGTCAAGAGATATAAAATTAGTATTCTCCAATAGTCTTTCTAATAAAAATTAAAAGTACTAAGGGAAGAACAATGTAACAGTATGAAATACTTCAAAACCATCAAAATACTGCTCTGATTTGCATTTTCCTGTAATTCGCTGATAAGATATAGTCAAGAATCAGAGCACGTCTGAGGTTTCTCACCACAAACGTTAATTTTCAAATAGCCTGCAATCAACATAGCTGTAAGGCACTACTCCTGAATCTCACTTAAGCAACATTCTTAAATATAAGTATTAATAACTCAGAGGCAGAAATTATTGGTTTACATTTAAACATAAGTAAGTTGTCCAACTCTATGGTTTAATAGCAGCCATGACACCACGTTACTCCCTTCTCCTTCCCTTGCTAATGTAAGCCAGATTTTGTGCAGTTATCAGGTATCCAAATAATAAAGAGGCATATCCTTGGCATCCAGAGTGACTTGTAATTGGTTTAAACCAAGCGTAATGATCTCATTTCCCTTGCCACGTAGCTTAAGAAGGCTTTGTGACCCTAATCCTGATCGGTAGTACCTGAGGGGAAAACTCCTGAGGGGGCTCCATGAAAATGTTATCTTGCTAACCAAAAGAGATGTACAGGAGGAAACATCCTTTTTCTTCATGAGACACTGTTGAGTCTGCATTCCATGCAGCCAGACTACAATCATGAGAGAATATCCTGAGGATGGCAGAGTATAGGGATGGGAAGTGTCAGGATCCTTGATAACATCACCGAGTCACTGAATTAATCAAGCCTCGATCTGCTTGCCTTCCCTCCCTTCCTCTAGGACTTCTTGCTCTGTGAGATGATTATTTCTTACTGCTTATGCCATTTTTATTGGTGTTTTCTGCTACTGGTAGCTTGAAGCATCCAGCTGAGATTATGAGCTATATCTATTATCTTTTTGGTAAAATCTAAATGAGTTTCCAGTTAAATTCTAAACTGAACCTATACAGTGTCAATGTCATAGTCACTATTTCTTTCATCAAAACTAATGCCCTGAAAATAAATTTTATCAATGTAAAACAATCATTCAAATTCTTTACCCCATAGGTGAGAGTAAAGCATAGTTTCAGAAAAATTCAGAAGCAAGGATTTTAGAAAACAAACCATTGTAGAAAGGCAAAGAGAAAGACACTGTTTCTCAAACTCATTTATACCGAAGCAAGAGCAATGTGTAATGAGTTCTTCAAGGCTAAAGTGCTCTCTGACCTGCTGTAGCAGCTTTTCAGTGTTTTAAGGGATGGTTATGGTGGTGGTTGGTTCTAAGAGATAGAGTTTCTACTCACATTAGACAAATGAAAGGCCCTGAACCCTGTAACGTTTGCCTAATAACAGAAGCCCTGTTGCCACATGATGCAGATGTTTAAGAGCAAATAATACAACTGAATTATAGTTCGCATATCTGCAAGAAACAATCAAAGGGAGGGGCCTGCTGCCAAACCATCAGACAGGTTACAGAATGGTAAAGAGTATCAGTGGAAATCTACTGAGGAAAGGAACACATAGGCATTACAGTCAGGATACCAGAGCCAGAAATCTGAAACAGAGATAAGAATCTGAGTTGAAAGGGAGATGGTACAATAACAAGCAGTATGGTTAGAAACTCAGATGCTTTGAATCAGGATGTCAAACACAGTTCAGGTATATAAGAAGGGAACAAAATCAGAAAGATCTGGAGATAAACTGAACTTACACAGAGTCAGAGAAAAGATAAAGTCAAAGAGGGTTACTGGGACTTTGGATTCTGTTTTCCCCTCTACCTGGTGCTGTGTACCATATCTGTCCACTGCCTTATTACAGTGGTTCTCAGTGCAGTACCAGGGCCAGCAGCTTCACCATCACTTGGGAATTTGTAAAAACACAAATTATCAGGATCCCAACCCAGACCAACTGAATTAAAAACTAGGGGCCACCAATGCATGTCTCAACAAGATCTCCAAGTACTTCAGATGCTCACTAAAGTATAATCCACTACTTTCCATGAGACCCTAATTACGATAAGCCAGGAGAAGAGAAAAAAAGGAGCCACCTCTCCAGAGTAACTTTGACCACGAAATATCATATACAAATAGCTGGGCAGAAAACCAAACTTTCTGAAATTTGAAACGTCATTCAATCAAGTTCTGGTCTGCTTTCCTTCAGGTGTCAAATACATGCCAATTAACAAGTTGTACTCTTTTACTTCAAGTCAGCCATAGACTTTCACACTTGAAATAAAATTACTCAAGGCCACTAAATGTGAGATAGTATTCAAATAAGAATGATCAAAAATGCAAAGCATTCATTTAGCACTTAAATTTCTAACTTTAACAAGTTTACCATTTCTCTCTTGAATTATTCGAATGGCTTGCAGCTGCATTTCAATGTTTTTCTGGACCATCATTGCTTTAAAGATATTAAAATCTTCTGCTGCCAATACAGGTTGCAAAATGGCCTGTAGAAAGAAATCTGTAGGTTAAATGGAGATTCAATTTTTTAAACTATTTCCCACACATTCATATCATCTCTAGTGCTAAATGGTGCATTAAATCAAGAATGCTATGCTATTATTTATGATCCAATGACTCAAAAAAGATAACTTTTTGATTTTATCTTAAAAGCCTTTAAAGTTGGGTTCTCAAGAGGTTGATTCTCACAACCCCATGCTCCAGGAAGCTAAGGCTGACAGTGATGCATTTTCCCAACAACCTACTGCTGAACAACTCTGCAAAACAACCCAGGAATCTAGCTTATTCTTCTAAAGTTACCACTTCAGTATCTGGATTTGTTTTTCAATGAAAATAATCTATTTCATTTATATTCTTTCACTTGAAACTAAAGAAACTTACTTTTTGTCTTGAAATTTACTATTTGTTTAATGGTAAATCAGTAACTACAAAAGCTTTCCTTAGTTAATAAAAATATCTGTTGTTGTTGTTGTTGTTGTTATGTGCCGTCCAGTTGGACCCGACTCATAGCGACCCCTCCTTGGGTTTCCGAGGCAGTATCACTACGGAAGTAGACTGTCCCATCTTCCTTCCGAGGAGTGGCTGGTGGGTTTGAACTGCCAGCCTTCCGATTAGCAGTCAAGTGTCTTCGGCACTATGCTACCAGAGCTCCCATAAAAAATATCTAATTAAATAAAATTAAATGCCCTCAAAAATGGAGTCTGGAAAATAAGTGTAATGAGCTAGTAATGAAGAACACAATACGCTTTTCCAGTGCACATGGAACATTCTCCATGATATATCATATGTTAGGCCATAAAGCAAACTTTAATCAATTTAAAAACATTGAAATCCTGCAAAGCATCTTCTCAGATCACAATGCTATCAAATTAGAAATCAACTATAGGAAGATCAACGGAAAAAGAGCCAATACATGGAAACTGAACAATATCCTCCTTAAGAAAGATCAGGTAAGCCAGACACTGCGGGAGAGAGATCCAATGGATCTACCGACTCAGGACCATAGTACTGGGGGACGTGAGACTCAACTGGCACAACAAAATACATAAAATCCTTGATCCTCATCCTACATTGGTGAGTAGCGACTGGGGTCTTAAAAGCTTCAGTGGCCACCTAAGATGCAGGTAATGATCTCCTAGCATCGGAAGCAAAGAAGAGTGCAAAAAAACAAGGGCATTGGGAAGCAATCAGCCCTAGGACATGATGGCCTTCAAGACCAGAAGAACTAGATGGTACCCAGCTACCAATGCCAACCATTCAGGAAAGGATCAAATCTGGAGATCCTGGATAAAGTGGGAAGAAAAACGTGGAGCAAAATCCAAAAACTCAGTAATGACCAGAATTATTGGCTGGATGGAGTCTGGTAAGACCCCCAATATTATGGTCCTGGAATACATTCTGGGCCTGGAATAAAGCTCACTCCCAGGGGCTGGCTCACAGCCCAAGAGTAAACAAGATGTACATGCAGACCACTCAACCCAGGGTGACGCACCCACATACTCTATGGAAATGCATCTCTTGGAGCAATCAACCACCAGAGGGGCACCAGAGGGGCAACATTCGCATGAAGGAAATGCAGGACACACAGGAGTGTTAAACTATGAGGACCATGGGGGGAGGATTACTGGTCAGGGAGGGGAGGAGACTGGGTTAGGATTGGGGATGGTATATGGGAAGTGAAACTAAATGTACACGTAATGTTGAATGTAAAACAAACTCTTAAAAATAAATAAATAAATCTTTATCATTCACCAGAGATAAAGCTCAGAAGGCAGGAAGAGGTAGGAAAGGTCAAAAGGAAATGGTAAACACTAGGAAAAAAAAAAAAGAAAGAAAGACTGGGTAAGAGAAAAAATAAACAATGCAATTAAAAAATTCCTTGAATTAAATGAGAATGAAAATACAACATAGTAAAATCTTTGGGAAACAGCAAAAATAGTGATCAGAGGGCAATTTATACCAATAAATGCACATATCAAAAAAGAAGAGTGAAGCAAAACCAACCCCTTAATTCAACATCTCTAACAATTAGAAAAAGAACAGCAAGAAAAGCCTACAATCACTAGACAAAAGGAAACAATAAAGATTTGAGCAGAAATCAGTGAAACAGAAAATAGAAAGACAACAGAAAAAATCAACAAGACCAGAAGTTGGTTTTTTGAAAAGATCAATAAAATTGGCAAGCCACTGGTAAATTTAAAAGAGGAAAAGGAGAGAATAACATGAAAAAGAAATGAAATGGGTGATGTCACAACAGAACCAACTGAAATGAAAAGGATAGTATCAGGACACTATGAAGAAATGTATTCTAAAAAATTTGAAATTCTAGAAGAAATGAACAGATTTCTAGAAACACACTACTTACCTAAACTAACACAGACTAAGGTGGAAAACTTGAACAGATCCATAACAAAAGAAGAAATTGAACAGGTCATAAAAAAAATTACCAAAGAAAAAAGTCCTGGCCCAAATGGTTTCACCAGAGAATTCTATCAAACATTCAGAAAAGAACTGACATCAATCCTACTCAAACTATTCCAAACCACAGAAGAGGACAGAATCCTCCCAAATTCACTTAATGAAGCAAGCAAAACCTTGATACCAAAACCAAGCAAAGACGTCAATCACTACAAAGGAAAACTACAGACCAATATCTCTCATGAATACAGATGCAAAAATCTTCAACAAAATCCTAGCCAATAGACCCCAATAATATATAAAAAAAATAATTCATTATGATCAAGTGGGGTTCATATCAGGTATGCAAGGATGATTCAACACTAGAAAAACAATCAATATCATCCACCACATAAATAAAACAAAGGAAAAGAACCACATGATCGTATCAATCAATGCAGAATAGGCATTTGATAAAATCCAACACCCATTCCTGATCAAAACACTCAGCAAAATAGGAATAGAAGGGACATTCCTCAACATAAGAAAGGGCACCTATGCAAAACCAACAGCTAGAATTATTCTCGGACAAAGACTAAAGCCAGTCCCCTTGAGAACAGGAACCAGACCAGGATGCCTGCTATCACCACTTCTATTTAATATTGTATTAGAAGTCCTAGCCAGGGCAACAAGGCAAGAAAGGGAAATCAAAGGCATTCAAATTGGTAAGGAAGAAGTCAAACTATCCCTATTTGCAGATGATATAATCCCATACCTAGAAAACACAACAGACTCAGTAAAAAACCTAATGGAACTAATTGAGAAATTTAGCATCATGGCAGTATATAAGATCAACATCCAAAAATCAGTTAGAGTCCTCAACACCAGCAAAGATACTGCTGAAAAATAAATAAGGAAATCAATACCATTTACAATAGCTACCAAAAAAAAAATAAAATACTTGGGAATAAATCTTACACAAAAGACCTGTACAAAGAAAATTATAAAACACTACTTCAAGAAACTATAAGAGATCTACATAAATGGAAGAACATATCATGCTTGTGGATAAGAAGATTGAACACTGTGAAAATGTCAACACTACCCAAAGCAATCTATACATTCAATGCAATCCCAATCTAGATCCCATCAACATTCTGCAAGGATATGGAAAAACCAATCACTAACTTTATATGAAAAGCACAGAGACCTCAGATAAGCAAAGCATTATTGAAGAACAAAGCAGGAGGTCTCACACTCCCAGATCTTAAAACCTACTATACAGCCACAGTAGTCAAAACCACCTAGTACTGGTACAATGACAGACACATAGACCAATGGAATAGAATTGAGAACCCAGAAATAGATCCATTGACCTATGGTCAGCTGATCTTTGACAAAGGGCCAAAATCCATTAAATGGGGAAGAGATTGTGTCTTTAACAAATGGTGCTGGCAAAACTGAGTATCGAATTGCAGAAAAATTAAACAAGATCTGTACCTCACACCATTCACAAAAACTAACTCCAGATGGATCAGAGATTTAAATGTGAAACCTCAGACTATAAAATTCCTCAAGGAAAAATAGGCAAATTTATGGGCTCTAATATATGGCATTTGACTGCTAACCAGAAGGCTGGTGGTTCAAAACCACCAGCCACTCCTCGGAAGGAAGATTGGAAAATCCACTCCAGTAGTGATACTGCCTCAGAAACTCAAGGAGGGTCACTATGAGTCAGATCAGACTCAATGGCAGTGAATTTGGGTTTTTTTTTTTTTTGCAATATATGGCATAAATAGATTATCAAGCATAACCAAAAATGCACAAACAGAATAAGATAAACTAGATAAATAGGACCTTCTAAAAATTAAATTTTTATGTGCTTCCAAAGACTTCTCCAAAGAGTCAAAATAGAACCTACAGACTAGGAAAGAATATTCGGCAATGACATATCTGATAAGGGACTTATCTCTAGAATTTATAAAAAACTCCAACACCTCAACAACAAAAAGACAAATAATCCAATTAAAAAATGGGCGGAAGACGTTAATAGAGACACGTCACCAAAGAGGATATTCAGGCAGCCAGTAAACATATGAAGAAATGCTCACAGTTATTAGCCATTAGAGAGATGTAAACCAAAACAATAATGAGATACTATCTTGCCCCAGCACTAGTAGCTAAGTTCAACAAGACACAAAATAAAAAATACTGGCGAGGATGTGGAAAGACTGGGACTCTCACACATTGCTGTTGGGACTATAAAATGATACAACCACCATGGAAAGCAGTATGGAGATTCCTTAAAAAGTTGGAATTAGAAATACCATTTGACTCAGCCATTACACTACTAGATATATATCCTAAACAAGTGAGAGCCAGGACAAGAAGAGATATACGCATACCTATGTTTATCACAGCACTATTTACAACAGTAAAAAGATGAAAACACCTAGGTGCCCATCAACAGAAGACTGAATAACCAAACTATGGTACATACACACAACGGAATACTATGCAATGCTAAAGAATAACACAGAATCTGCAAAGCACCATGTAACATGGATGAACTTGAAGGGCATTATGCTGA